AATGGGTTGATCTTGTGCAAGAGTTGACGAATGTCCTCCACCGTGAAGACCAAGTCGGTTAGAGGCTGTTCGTAGTTTCTCCTTGACAAGAGTGGATGTGACGAGGACGCTGGGGATTGATATATGCATGCATAGTGTTCTCTCTAAACCTCATTTGGCATTGTTAGGTCACTCATGGTTTCTCCGTTTCTGTCCCTCAAGGACAACGTGGCTTGTTACGGTTCTCCGTTCCTTTCCCTCAAGGAGAACGTCGATTGCTTGTTACTGCGGCGATGTCTCGTGTATTTGTACAAGACGTTTTTGTGTTTCCGAGCGATATCTAGGATGGTGGCTTGCTTTCGTGCGTTCCATCGGCGAATTTCTGGTTTACAGCGATTCCGCATTTTACGAAACACGAGTTCATCTTCTGTGTCCCTTGTAGTCGACCTTTTGGAAAAAAGTTGGGACCCCTCTTCCAGATATCGCCGAATCCTTTTGAACATCTTGCCGCTCATCCGACTGCGCGCTGGTTTTTTGGGACGAACGTCGCGTCAGCCCCGTGAACTTTCTGGACAATGGTCTTATGTAATTCTTCCACTGAATCTGATCCCGGGTTAACTTGTACAATAAAGATGCGCATTCCTGATAAGTCTGCACTGCAGAAGTTTCGAAACCACGTGTGAGGTCTGAGATTTTTGGCCCAGTAGCAGACGAAATCAAAGGCCAGCACACAGTGATCGCTATGTCCCAGTGTAGCGTTAATTGTTACCTGATCAACGAAGTGTCTTTCCTGAGTGATTGCCAGATCCAGGAGGGATGGCAGTTGGCCTGCGCGGTATCTGGTGGGAGGGTAGATAACAAAAAAATGCTTATGGCGTCTGTTTATCTTCAAGCATCTCACCACACTGCGAGAAATCAGTTCAAAAGACATTCACTATTCCACGGATAATCCTCCCGTTCTATTCGCATGGACCTCCACATACTCCATGAGGACTACATCGGACAGCCTCTTGAATACGCAAACTAATTTGTCCACTCAGGGCTAAGAGAACGTAATCCTGGTTGAGCGTGCCCGGAATCTGCTACGAAAAGAGTTGTTGGCTTTAAGTCCGTTGATTATGAAACGTGTTTCAAAGTGCCTTTCCTAGTTCCACGGCGGGGACATGTTAAGGAGATTTTCAGACTGAGCGCACAAATTTATGAAGCAACGGTTTTTCTCACGTCGTGTGGTTGCTGCGCGGAATAACTTTCCTCTGGTTGCTGTTCGTGTTGCATCTAGTTCGAAGCACTTTTAAACACCTTTTGTTTGAGACCTCGCGCTGGGAATATTAGTGCCATGGGCAGAGAACGTAAGGAGCCGTGCTACATCCTTTTCCGCTTGTGTCTTACAGGTGAACAGGGGCCGCTCAAAAGCAATGATAAGCGACACGGGAAGCTTCGGCAAAAGCCTTGATCTTGTGCATCAGTCCGCGAGTGCCCTAATGTATACGTGGTGCTAAGGATATTTTTGATCTGGTTTGGGTGCAAGTACGCGCTGTGCACCTCCCGTAGTTGTGCTGAACGAAAGCCTATTTCGAAATGTTCAGACGAAAAATTAACATGAGAATCTAACATTATTACGTCAAACGAATTTTTGTTTGAAGCATTCTCCCAGCTTCCCAAGTGCTCCATTTTGCTGGGGGTTGGAGACAAATCTGGCCTCTGGTATTTTCGTTAACAAGAAGTCCCCGATAATAAGTCAAGTGAATCACGTGAAACAGCCTGCAAGCGTTTCCACCGCCTCTAGCAACTCCATTTTCTCGGGCTTTCGGATCCACCAAGCCTCGCGGTCCACCTGGACACCCAGTTCAGTTAGCGTCGGATGACATAGTCGTTACCAGGCGGAACCTCTCGCACGGCTTGCAACAAAGCCATGGTCTTATCAGAGGTTCAATGTTTGGATGAATTTGCTTGGACCGTATCGCCAACAGTAGTTCCAGTCCTTCGTGGCTTTTTATGCACGTGTTCACAGTAGCCGCCATTATGATATGGGACGCTACGGTAGAGTGAAGAGGAGCCGATTTGTTTGCTTCGTCTGATCTCTGGGTCCGGAAATCTGGTGGACTGTGAACAATGAAACTCCAGAACAAGAAGTGTCCAAGTTCATGTCTCCACTCAAAGTACATCTTGATTACGGAACTGGCCTCACATGCCCTTTCAAGAGTGGCGACGAGTTCCTCGAGGAACACCCATATTGCTTATTCGGGATTATCAGGAAGAAAGCGGTCGGCCCATAGTAACTTGATGATAGTGCCTATTTTTAATAAGGTACAAGCACTGAACGTAGTACCCACAGATGTGTTATTTTGACTCCTGTTGTGACAAGTCATATGGCATCTCCGACGGTTCTTCAACTTACGGTGGCACATAAGGCCCTCAGCCGTGCGCACCGAGCGGGATTTCTACCGAGTAGAGGCAACTGCAACCGATGTTTGAAGATTGCGAAAAGGGATAATTGGGAAGGAATAGGATGAGAGCGGTAGCGTGTGGTGAGTGCCAGGAGGTATCAGGTAAAACGGCGTCAATATTAAAAATTCCAAGGGGAGATTACGGCAAGTTAAATGGACCCAGGAAATGTGGGTTTGTTTGCTGATCTAAAGACCAAGTACTAGCTTGGCCAGAATAGGTGCCCAGTTTTGTGAAGGTAAGGACCTTGCCGTCGAGGTAGCTAGCAAGGAAGTTATGTGGTGGACTAGTTGGAACGGGCGGTGGTTTTTAGGTTACGAAAAGAAACCTAACATAGTGTCTCCGTTGTGCAAAAGAGGGGGTTGATGTGAGCATTGAAAGTAGACAAGTAGAAAAGCGGTCGCGCAACAGCTTCCCAGATAACGGATAAGAATCGCAGCTTCACTGAGATCTACTACGTCAGCTTACCAGGAAGGTAAGGGTAAGGATCACCAGTCGCCGAGCCACTGCTGTCAACTCCAGAAAACGAATAGTGCATGGCAAAACAGCTATTAAGCACCAGCTGTGACTGCTGTAATCAGGAAAATAATAAGTTGTTGGCGTTTTGCTGCTGGGTCTTACCAGGAAGGTAAGGGTAAGGATCACCAGTCGCCGAGCCACTGCTGTCAACTCCAGAAAACGAATAGTGCATGGCAAAACAGCTATTAAGCACCAGCTGTGACTGCTGGTAATCAGGAAATAATAAGTTGTTGGCGTTTTGCTGCTGGGTAATTTTCGACCCGCGATAGACAGAGGATATCGTTCACATGTTTGAAGACGTCTTGTGACATGCGTCTCCTACCTACAACCTGCGGTCATACTTCAAGACGTATACATTGTGAACGCATACTGTATAATTCAAGGAGAATCTCTTGGGGCTATGGAAAGTTCTGCATACCTTGTCAGTAGTATTAGCTGTGTTAGAAATATACCTGATGAAGCCAGTAAATGAAGGTAAAGCAGTGGAATCACTTCGACTGATTTTTGTCACGTGTGGCATCAAACGTCACACCGAAGGATCTTGAGTGTCACGCATACCCGGCTACAGTGAGCGCTGTTTCGTTGAATGGTTGCGTTGAGTGGCCTCTGTGGAGAGACTATGTTGGGCGTCTTCAGCTTTTTATCATCAGTGCCTCAATGAAAGGAACTGTATTGAGGAGCTAGAAAACGTATTTGGTTGCGCGGCAGGTACCTCAACCGAGGAAAGCATAAACAACAACAACTAGGGCAGTTTTCTCACGTAATACGCATCACAAAAACAACATACTAATTTGCAGAAAAGTCTGGACGACATGATGGAAAGTTCGACTGTTTTTGGTGTTTTATGATTTTCCGAATGGGCCTTCGTGACTCCTCCTGAGACGGGCTGTGAACAATGCAGACGATAGTGGCCGGTTAATGTCAAGCCGTCCTTACCGTTGTTTTTTCCCACAGCATCTGATTGAACGCTTGGGTGTTTGGGCACCTCGGAATGCTTGACACATACCAGCATCAGTTTTCTTTGACTCTTTCTCTTCCATTCGGAGGCTTTAAGTACAAACTGCCGAATTTTATGGCTTTGTGGTGATGAAGCGTCAGTGTCAACGATTATGTTTTTTACCCCGTCGATGGTAAGGGGGCGCTAAATGATATCAAGATAAGCGTCGAAAGATATGGTCTCTCTAGGGCGACCGTCAATGTTTCAAATAAATGATAGGCTGACTACCTCCTAACAAGTAATTACAGGGACTGTTGTTCAAATTATTTGGTATGGAGGACACCCTCCTACATTACTGAACATGGCGATCTCTGTACGATCCTCGATTATTTCGCCCACGCGCATAATTATGGGACTACTCACAATGACCGTCTGACTAACATCTGTGACGGAATATTTTGGTCATCTTAAAAGCCACTGTCGCGTAAGCATTGCTTTCATGCCGCACATAAACAAGAGAACCATTTTTTAATAACCACGCGGTGCAGTCGAAATCGATTTCACAATTTAGACTTGGGTGACCCAAACCTGGTAATGTTTGCACTCAGATTTCCGGTTGTCGGTACAGCCCTATGCCTTCGGCTAGTCGTGCCAGTCGCACCCAAAATGCCAGGCAATCTCTCCTTGCTTGTCTGACCTAGAACCGCATGCCGCATGACACAACAGGATTAAAGCACAGCTTTCAAATTGTTGTAATCATTTCAGGAAGCTGCCTGACAGATAAGGCATAGGTAAGTAAAAAGGTAGAATAAGCCAAGGAATAATCAGCCTGTTCAGTACCAAAGCGGTTATATCTGTGCCTGATTTTCAATTTTTGTTCCAGGTACACAGCATAAAACTTCTGGCAAATTCAAGTTGTGATCAAGAACGGAGAGTTTTCATTACCAGGAAAACCAGGTGGGACGTGCGTGCCGATCCTTACAAGAACAACCCAATTCCTCTGGAACCAGATTTTGAAACAAGGCAACGTTTACATTGGGTTTAGCATTTGTTTTTCATTACCAGGAAAACCAGGTGGGACGTGCGTGCCGATCCTTACAAGAACAACCCAATTCCTCTGGAACCAGATTTTGAAACAAGGCAACGTTTACATTAGGTTGTAGCATTTGTTGGTTTCTACTGGAGAGTTTTAAAACACCTCAGTCTCAGCCTTGCAAAAATTTGTTTAAGCGTATTTAACGCCTGTCTTGGGCAACGAATTCATAATTTCAATGTGTATCGCAGTTGAAACTTGACTGTATCTGCGTGCACGTCTATCATATGACCTTATGTGTGCCTCTCCCCCTCTTTCCCCCCTACCACGGACGGGCCATCACGAGCCCCGGGCAGGAAAGATTAACCCTCTTATACACCCCCTGGTTGACCTTAACCTGACTTTGTACTCCGGACTTCTGCTTTTGGTTTCGGTTTAATAAACGTGTGTTGTTGCCACGCTCCAGTGCTCTTTTCCGTGTCACCCGACCTGTGCGAATGTGTGCTGTGTGTGCCGCGTGGATTTCGTAATACCGACCTCTATATCTGCAGGTTCCAGAACCGACGTGTGCCGTCGCTACATCCTCTCGAACGTCGAATACCGCTGACTTCCTGACTTCCCACGCCACAAATGGCGCCAAGCCTCGGCCTAACATCCCCATGGATATGAAGGGGAATTCTAGTTTTCTTTACGCGCTTCCTCCGTTTTTAATCGGAAAATAATTTGCCAGGGTGTATTAACAATAACTAATTCGACTTCTTCCTGGAACTTTAAAACGGAGCGGAATTCGCAATTTTTTTGAAAAAGTTTCCTATCGCTTCATTGAGAGTCCTGCCAAACAAATCCAAGGAATCTGCCGCATCTAATAAGTTTGGTGGAATTTTCTTATGCCGTACTGTGTGCAAGGCAAGATTTAGTCTTTGAAAGTGTGCCAACTCCTTCGCAGCACAATAGAAGAATTATTTGATTCATGGAGAGTGCGGGTAGATAGTATAGCCAGCCGGCTAGTAGTTCAAAGATTTGGCAGAAATTCAGCGGAGTGGGATGGACTATCGTGTGCATGTAGCATTTCTGTCCAGCAGTGGTAAAGGTATGTTAGACTACGGGGAATGCATGGGGCTGTGTATGGCAGGAGTGGTACAACCATCGTGGCTCCGTACTCTGCTCCGTGGAAAACCTCGTACGTGTTTATCTGCGTGAGCCAGTTGGCATTGTCAGGATAGCGAGGATTGGCCAAAGAGTCGTGATAAAATAACACTAAAATGGAACAAGGATATTTGCCTGTCCATCCCGAGCGCGTGTTGTATTTTCCGCCACTGGACTGCGGCCACAAGTAACAAGCGACGAAGATTTGTTGCAATTTTAAATGACCTACTGAGGCAGCACTGTCAAGTTTCCAATAGAGTGATTAAAGTTCTGCAGGAGACAGTTGGAGTGGTGGCAAGAGGACCACGCAATCCGGCCTGTCCATATATGACTATGAGCAACCTATTTTAGTGCACTGATAGTTCCATATCTAGTTATGTAATTGTCCATGAAGAGAATATAAAGTTCAGGCTTGTGAGTAGGCAGTCTCAGGAATGGTAGTTGAGGCCCTACGTAGCTACATGTTGTTACAGCTCAAGGGCATCTGGAGATGTAGGATTATCCTGCATTTGAACGTGCCAGGCGGGAAGAAGAGGGGTCAAAAAGCCATCGCAGGCAGTTTATGGAACGCTTTTTAAAGCTGATTTGGACAGTGGATTGGTAGGTACAAAGAAATACAATTACCAGTTTGGAGTCATGTTAGGCAATCGCGCACATACTGGTGATAAGGGTGGACTTCTGATATAACTTGCGGTTGGGAAAGATGCGCCACCTAGTTATGGAAGTTAGCTGGGTCTAGATCAATCATTAGATTTAAGCATGCGGGAACAAGCAATCAGAGAAAACGTGAGGTTCGTGGTCGTGTCGCACAGTTAAACAAGTGATGAACTCAGTATAGCACTGTTACAACCTATAAAAAAGTAAGAGGCTTTGAAAAATTAATTGCGCCAGGCTCGCAACTTTGCGTGCATGTTGTCGGTCTCTGTCAACTTACAAACGGAATAGCATTTTTAATCCGCAGTACCCGAGCTTTGGATTTGTAAGAGGATTTCCTGGAATACGTGCCTCAACCGGGGCAAGGGA